AATTTTACACGTAAACTATTCATTAGAATGGGAGGTTTCCAGTACTATAATATACCGAACGCGGCTACCAGGAATAATAGTCTCAAACTGACATCTCTTGAATGGAGGCGCAGAGTGTTTGACCTATGTTTTGTTCATAAACTGGTACAGAATTATTATGTGTCTGGATTTTCCAATGTCTTCAAAATGTCATATTCGAGAACTAGAGGTGGATCCATGAAAATATCATTAACGCGACCCAAGAGTAATGTGCGTGCTAAGAACTTCACATATAGAGCCGGTAGTGATTATTTGAATATAGCGAAAAATATACCCGCTTCTTTAACACAAGCACAATTCAAGCGACGAATATCTAATATATTACTCAGAACTAGAGGTTCATAGCATTTTTTGAGACTGATTACCAAAGCTCGTTGTTCTTAAAAATATAGGTGTTTTGTAGTTATTTCTTGTTCAGTTCATGTGATTCATAATGGTGTCAATTATTTCTCACGTGTGCCTTATGCAAACGTAATAAACTTATACTTATACTTATTAACAATGGCAGTTGACCTCCTTTCGTTGACGGACTCAGTTCACCTTTTTCCCGGTCTCCAGGACTTCTTGGAACCGAGTTATGAATTTTCGTCGCAAACTCCGCCCACTTTGGTCATGCCCCGCCCACCGATGACAGCTGGCCTCCACTCCTCCACCCACCTCCATCCACCTTTTTCCCGGCCTCCGGGACTTCTTGGAGCCGAGTTATGAATTTTCGTCGCAAACTCCGCCCACTTTGGTCAAGCCCCGCCCACCATGACAGCTGGCCTCCACTCCTCCACCCACCTCCATCCACCTTTTTCCCGGCCTCCGGGACTTCTTGGAGCCGAGTTATGAATTTTCGTCGCAAACTCCGCCCACTTTGGTCAAGCCCCGCCCACCATGACAGCTGGCCTCCACTCCTCCACCCACCTCTATCCACCTTTTTCCGGCTCTTTAAGACTTCCCCGGCCCGAATTATGAGGACTTGTAGAAAATGCTGTACACTTCAGAGCGCGCCCCGCCCTGGGCGGGCCTCCGCCCACGTCATGTATGCAGGAAACACCTTAGACATTGCTCCCCTACACCAATTTGTTTTCTGCTCTGTAGGCTTTCTCCCAACCGAGTTATGAAATTTTTCATAAAGCACTGCTTTTTTGGAGAACGCCCCGCCCACCGGGGGTGGGTCTCCCTAATTCGATGTGACTTACCAATGCACACCTTTACCCACTTTTTGGCCCAGTTTCGAGGCTGTTTTGTCACTGAAATTGAAATCTTGGTCTTCAGTACAGTTCATTTCGACGCACGCCACGCCCACTGTGGGCGGGGCTCCGCTTAGCTGATGTGTGTTTTGTACTTCGTGAGACCTTGCCCACCCATCCCACACTTGACCCGGTCCCTCCAGGCGGATCCCGAGGAGCTAGGGAATTTCGTGACAGACATACAGACAGACGACAGACGACAGACGAAGCGCTTTATAGTTAGTAGGATATTTGTTACCGTTGTAAATTAGGGCAAGAACAAATCTTTCAAAGTATTTATACATGGCACTTTCAAACAAAGGTGTTATTCCTTGGTGGTGGTCTAAGTTGCTGGGTTGCGATGACAGCAGAGAAAATGTCAGGCAAGGCAAAATAATTGTCGATATATGTATATATAGAGTAGGGATCATATGCATTTTTTTGTTTGCTTCCAATTTTGTTCTCATTAATTTGTATGATATTAACCCTTTGACGACAATGCGGATTTGCACGTAACGTGCTCGTGGGACCACGCCCGTTTTTGGCGCGCCCGACTTGCTCAACATTGGGCAAAATTTTCTCTAAAGCAGTTTTTCTATCAAATTTTTAACTTTAGCAATGCACTCAGTACAGCTGCAGTCCTTAATTGCACGTTATAGATTGCTGGCAAAAAATCGGAAGTTTGGAAGGAGAAATTGGATTTTAAAGGGATGGGAAGTAAACACTCGAAGCTCACGTGTACAGGGAAGCTTTTCAGTCCAAATCGCTCCATGTGTCTGAAGACCGTTAAAAGACAAAGAAGCCTTGAATAGTAATTTGTGTACAGCCCAATCATGAAGGACCCCTATTAACACGCTGGCAGGCTGAACGCCACATTCTGATACATAAGAGGTCTTCCTGAACATTTCTGTGAAAGCTGCTAAACGTAGAAATTATGATGCCTGTTATGAATACAGAAATGATAAAAAAAGTTCAAATGTACAAAGAACAGATTCTCAAGGTGAAACCCAACATTTGCTCATATTGTCCTATGCGATGGACAGAGTGGCACTCACTGGTGGGTGCCATTTTCGCCAAAGGATTAACAAAGTTTTATCATTATTCAAAAATTGGCTCGAATGCGGTACCTCACCAAAATACTATTCTACTTGCTTCGCTTTGTTCTGGAGCTATAAAGAAATACAGTATCAGCGCAAGCAATTAAGTGGGGTCATCCCACAGGCAAGTTTGGAGAAGTGCGAAGTGACCTACCGTACGCTACAGTTATCCGCTAATTACGCTACCGTACTCAGTTTCAAATCAAATACCTCCACCCGAGCTGAACAGTTTCAATTGGGCGTGGTTATCAATCGGCTGAGCGGATTGCAGCCGATTTTTAACCACGCCCACTTCAAAGCTGTTCAGCTCCCTTTCTAGCGGCTTTCCAAGGTGAGTTTTTTGTTCAGTCACACTTTTTATGTTCTTGACTAGGGCATCGTTCCATACCTAGTGTCGAAGGTAAAAACTCTGCTGGGACTGTTGCTTCAGGTTCTCTTGTAGTAGCCGCACCTTGCACTCATGGAGCAGCGGATTCGATTTCACCTACACACATTGACCAAGGCATCAAATTCAAGCATTGGTGTAAAACTCACCGCTGGCAATATGACGAAAGCGAGCACTGCAACATTTATCTCACAAATGTTACATCACTTGCATAGAGTTATGAAGCAGAGTAGCTTAGAGGGGGGATCCCACGGTAAGAACGAAGGTTTGAGAATGGGAAAATGCCTAGGGAGACAGGTGGACCTCCTGAGGGTGCGGACTGACACGCAATTGGCAGCGAAAGATTTGACCTCGGCGATCTAGCATGGCTCACTCTTGGCGCAGTTGGCGCGGTACGCCCACCGACTATCTATCACTCGCCGCAGGTCTATGCGCGGATAGTGATTGGATAGAAGAGAGAGCACAAGAATCTAACTTCAGCACCCGACCGATGGCCTACCGTAATCCTGACGTGACATGCGTGCCCGCCGCAGCCGCATACTTCGCACTCAGCCTGACGTCTGTATTAAGTTCTTTCCTTTCCTAATGGTTCAATTCCTATAGGCTGAGATTTCTTCAAAATATTCGTTACTATTCTGTCGCGAATTTCACTTCTATCACGCATCGGACAAATTGGAATTGTTTTTAGTGCATTATTAAACTTTTTATTCTAATCTTGGGGAATTTTATAGTCAATCTGCAGGATAACGGCAGGGTAGGTGTGAAAAGTAGCTTACAATACGGCTTCTAAATATCCCAGCAAAGACTCATAAAACTTTGCGCCATGCAGTCGTGGCAAAAGAGCCAGGATAATGTTATGGTCATGCTGTGCGCCCTTTTGTGTTCTAATACATCTTTGAGAAGGGGTTTTTATGGGTGTGGATGACTAAATTCGTCAGGCTCGTTTCCTTGAACTGGTGGACTGATTTGTTGGTCCTCAGTAAATGTAGATCATCGAGTCATGAGGACTGAATTCATCGCGGAAGTACGAGAAACTCGAATTTTTGTCTCGCGGAACCATGGGTAAAAAGTATAAGGTAGAATGTAGTGAAAACACCCTAACAGGCAGACCATCGTGAGTTCCAGTCCTCGAGTCCACCAGAAGCGACGATGTCCCCCATCAACACAGGGTAAAAGGACTCATATAAGGAGATAGAAACAGCGCTTTGCACATCAGCAGACTCCCACCTTTTTATACAAGCAAATTTGTATACAGATGGCTACGCTCACGAATGGATGTATAATGGGTGGCAGTCCCCCTCGTAAGCCAAGACTGTTTGTATGAAATCATGGTCAGACCACACATCAGTACATGAACTTCTTGGACTTCTTTGGTCCAGCATTGCTGCCCACCACTCGCTTTTCAATGTGCTCGATTAGATACACACGTGAGGAAAAGCCACGTATATGAGGACACTCGAGCCTTTTTCTCGAGAAAAAAGGAACGTAGAAGATTCGAATCAACTACAAGCTATCGCTATGAACCATTAGTAACTAGATTTACTGAGAGGCCGTCGTTACTTATGCTGTGTAGTCCATTTGACGCGCTTTGGTTTCGCAAGCAGAGGGTAAATAAATTCACAATTCAAACACGCTTTCTTCAATATGGTTTTATTTTCAAACATGGTTTGTTCGCACTTACAGTTTGGTTCATGACGAAAACAGAAAAAAATATTTCGAATACCATGACTTCGACGCAAAGTGACATAACATACAAAAACGTTACACGTAAAAGCGACAAATCGACACCATAGTTTGACAGATGAAGCTGTGAATAAATGCTTCATACATGAATGTGTTCAGATTAAAGGAATCTTCCACGGACCATGGACCAGTGGGCGGGACCGGAAGTGGTTTTGCGACGAAATGCATGGTAGGTACGGATCCACGTTCATGGGAAGGTTTGAAGTGAATCCTGTTCACGTTCGTGCGTTCGACACGTGGATCCGTACCTACCATGCATTTCGTCACAAAAACTTCCGGTCCCGCCCACTGGTCCATGGTCCGTGGAAGATTCCTTTAAGCAAGGATTAGATATGAAAGATGATCCAACGGGCAGCGGAACCTTGACGATTTAGGACACTTTCGAGCAATATTACATAGTGGAAAAGGCGGCAGCCCCTAAAGACATAGTAATGAATGCCCTACTCCTCAAGATGTAGCTTCTCAACGCACCTGGGGATGCGTTTCATCTTCTTCGAAAGGAAAGCCCTTCATCAGAACCTATACTCTGCAAAAATACCATGTGAGTGAGAAAACAAGTGGGCCCTAAGGGATAGAGCAAAAATACCTATGATTCCTCTCCTGGTGCATACCAAGCTGCGCTAGTTCCTTCCGGTTGCCTCTTTTCTTTTTTTGGGACCTCTGCAAAAATCATAGTTATCAAGTTTTTGCTCCAAATCAGAGGTATGAATTGACCAACCGGTAAAAGTTTCCGAATCGGTGGATTTCGACACAGTCGACCACATATTGGGAGGTCAGCACGCCTAACTATTTGTGTTACTTGCGGCTGTTTCTTTTTTGCGCACATTTCGAGAGCGCAGTTTCGTCAGTTCGACATCGAAGAGACCGCATTGAATCAAGAACTTCCTCGAGGCAGTTATTCACCTCCTGATCAGGTATCTTAGAAATTTGCAGAATATTGTAACGGATTACCGCATAAGTCTGAAATAGAAACAAGTGATTATAGTTCTATGTGAAAGTTCATGTTTTGGAGGTAACGCTACCGATACTATTTCGTGAACGAAATTGTTATTTGAATCCAGAATATAAGTTCTGAACGAATGGCCCTCATCATTGTAAGAAGTTTCCAAAGACGCCGCGGTCGACTCAACGCATTCCACGTTCTCGGCCTGGTTTTGGGCTGCGATTCTACCTAAAAAGCATGGCATTTATGAAACCTCGAATCACCTGTTTCAATAAAAGCGCCTTACCTGAAGAAGCGTAAATGAGGCATGCATGGACATGAAGGCAGGATATACCTGACTGTATATCCTTTTCACAATCACATCGGAAACCGTACGCACATGCTCCGCACGCGCCTTTGACACAATGATTGTTCAACTGTAATGCGAGCATAATAGGAGGAACTATTCTTCACAGCAGACTGTAACCACATATAACCTTGGGGTCACAAGGACAAGTAATTTGCTGGACGCTGTGCGTTGCTCCACCTTCAACAACTTTCCGGCCAGTTCCCACCACTTGCACGTCTTGTTGTCTCTTCCTGAACCATTCAACGGCGGTCATCGTGCTGGCGATGGTGTTGGGATAAACGGTACCGTCCTCTCATCAGTCCTCGCTCCACCTGTAGGGAGAAAAACTTTCAAAAGGCATGGGATAGAAGGAGAAGCATACGAAAAACCTTTATGCGTCGGTCTTCCTCCAGTTCCGCGGGGAGAGATATGAGTATCTCTAGCTGCCTATCGAGTCGCATATTTGGTTTGGAGTCCGGTAGTTCATGTTTTAATCGTTTATGGAAGCGCTCCCCGAGCATTGCGGTATTCATGCATGCATTGAGGCGCCGCGAGAAACCACCCCACTGGTTGACACGACGGCTCCTAAATCCCCTTAATACACAAGGACTTTCCTACTATGACTGATATCAATAGGTACCAGTTCTCCTCTATATATGAAAACATTTGGTTCTCTCCAAGTTGGATCGCTCTACTACATCGGAAGTGTGAAAGTTTTCGTCCTGCAATAGTCCGAGTGCTTGTTTCTGCCCACCGCAATACGTGTTGATTCTCCACGTTTCTTCGCCAGACCTAGGAACATAGACTTGCTTTCGAACTTGCAATCGGAACAGGCTTACTACCGACCTCATACTGATTTCTTTCTGCGAAAGACAGGGTCTCCACTCGATATTAGCCCGCGTGACGTGCATGCTCGAGTTGGGCATGTTCCACTAATTGCTCATGCGTCTAAACGTCAACATTCCGTCAGAACTGGTGTAGGGTGTGGAAGGGAACTAAAGCTTTAATACACACCTTAACATCCTGCACACAAACTGGACAGCTAAGCAGTTTTTGACTTGGTTCAGCGTGATGTTTGACCGATTTGTGCCTTTGCAAGGAGTCTTTCGACGAGTACGAAGAATCACATTCATAACATTCGAAAACAGTCGATGTTGTCGATGCTACCTTTTGGTCTCTTTTTTCTTTCTTGATCTGTTCTATTTCTTCCTTCGTGTACTCATGAGCCGAGAAAAGGTGGGGGTACAACCTTTTTCCAGCGCTGAACTCTCGGTCACATTCGGGGCAAGATACGCCCATATCCCGGGGTAACCGACCTAAAGGAGTAATGAGTAGTGTAAAATCCATTCAAAAGGAAAGCATGCGCACGACGTGACACGCGCTACTCCGAGACTGGGGAAAATGAACTCATCTTCAGTCTATGCATGGATATGACATCCTCTTTTAGCATGCGCATTCGTTGGCTTGCGTTTCGTTGTTTCCTTTTGGGGGTGTCCCTCACTAGGAGAACAAGCGACTTATTCAAGTTGCACAGCGCGAAGAACATTCTGCCGCGAGAACTTAATTCCAACGCTGATCATCAATTGACCGAGGTTCCTGCAGCTAAAAATTTTTCGCGGGTCTCATCCGGTAAGGGGGGGCATGTGGTGCGACAGTTCATATTGCATGAAGTAATCCACTTTTTTCAGGGGAGGGAAGCTCCGGGGTGGGTGTAAAAGCAAATGGTTCACGCACCCCGGGATTCCCTCCCCTTGCAAAAATTGGAATTTCTGTAGCCGGCAAGAACTGTCGCACCACATGCCCCCTTACTGGATGAGATCCTGTTTCGTTCAGCAAAGTGCGAGAAAAAGCATTCTCTGTTCCAGTGAACCACACTCCAAAAAAAAACCAACGAAACGTAAGCCAACGAAAGCGCGGTCAAAAGAAAGAAATGCAAACGCGTGCCAAAGAAACAAACGTGAACGCGCGCCAAAGAAACAATTGTAAACACGCGTAAAGGAAGCAAACGAGAGAGCGCGCTAAAGAAAGAAACGTGAACACACGTAAAAGGAAGCACGAGAGAGGCGCGCTGAAGAAAGAAACGTGAACACGCGCTAAGGGAAGCAAACGTGAATGCGCGCTGAAGACTTAAACAAAAGCGCGCGTCAAAGGAAGCAAATCGCGCGTCAAAGAAACAAACGTAAACACGCGTAAAGGAAGCAAACGAGGGAGCGCGCTAAAGAAAGAAACGTGAACACACGTAAAAGGAAGCACGAGAGAGGCGCGCTGAAGAAAGAAACGTGAACACGCGCTAAGGGAAGCAAACGTGAATGCGCGCTGAAGACTTAAACAAAAGCGCGCGTCAAAGGAAGCAAACGTGAACGCGCCAAAGAAACAAACGTAAACACGCGCTAAGGGAAGCAAACGTGAATGCGCGCTGAAGACTTAAACAAAAGCGCGCGTCAAAGGAAGCAAACGTGAACGCGCCAAAGAAACAAACGTAAACACGCGTAAAAGGAAGCACGAGAGAGGCGCGCTAAAGAATGAAACGCATTTGCGCGTCAGAAGAAACAAATGTGAACGCACAACAAAGAACGAAACCCAAACGCGCGTCAGAAGAAACAAATAGAAGCGCGCGCCAAAACAACAGACAACATTCTCGGACGTCGGGCTGAGTACGAAGTATGCGGTTGCGGCGGGCACACGCGCCACGTCAGGGTTACGGTAAGCCATCGGTTGGGTGCTGAAGTTAGTTTCTTGTAGAGAGGGCATTAGCGTTGAAGAGGGCAGAACGACGATGTCGCATAAAAGCGGAAATAAATGAGCAAGGAATGGGTGCAGTTATCAGATTCTCGGCCGCTTCTCATAGTTTCTCCTTCCCTGTACCACTCACCATCCTTAGCTTAGTTTGAAAAGGTCTTTTTCGTCTTTAATTCTGCCTTTAGGTTTACTACTCGCGGCTGGCAGGCAAGACGCCGCAGGTCGACCCCCCTGTTGTGTTAGTCTTTGCTTTTGCAAGAAGGCTAGCAGACTTCAAACAGGGCCTCCCTACCTGAAATTACCTGCACGAAGAACCTGTGAGCAGTTGCTGACAAGTTAAGCGAGCGTTCCCACATGACGGTTTATGGTGTCCGTATCACATGTGCCAGATGATTTTGCAGAAAACGAATATAGTTCTTGTGATTGTTGTGTAAAATTAACCCTAGAGGCTGGATCTTCAAGCCAAACCAGAAATTCTGATGTAACTTCGAAAATTAAGCTAATCATTCATCAATAATCTACCATCTGCCCTCGAAGGCTGGTCTTGAGATGGGATCAATTTCGGAAACACTTCACAGGATTAAGGCATGCTTACCCGTTCCATCCCCGGTGTAGCAGACAGGCGGACAACGTTGATGTCGCGCCCCTTTTGTGGCTTGAAAGTGCGCGACAAAGGCGCAAGGAGCTCGTCCGACCCGCAATCCACACCTTCGTCCGCAAGCCCCACCCTTCGCTGTCGGCTGCCACGTGGCGCTGCGAAAAAAGCGCGGACGCAGTTTTGGGAGCAGTTGCATTGCGGCAAATTACATTATCAGGCACTGTTCACAGTTTTCGAATCATCCGATTCGAATTCGCGAAAAGAATTATATACGTATCGACACGGAGATCGCACGCGCGAACGCGGAAGCGAAACAGTCTAGAACGTATCGACGTAGACAACTCCGCCTCTCACCGTTTCGCGTTGACGTATCGAAAGCACGAAACGATGGACCGCCTCAACTCACCTGATCGATAGACCCACATTTCTTTTGAAAGGATTCGCAGATTCGAATGCGCGATTCGACGCACCTCCCCTTGCGGATCGATACGCATTTGATTTATTTCACGGACGCGCAGATTGGTTCGTTTCGAGCGTACTTCGGGTATGGCACAGAGTGTGAACAGTGCCTCACGGGGTTTGGTTCGTAAAACTCGTCCAACACGCCCCTTCTCTGTTCCAAGGTAGAATGCGGCTAAGATCAAAGTGGTCCTTATTCAAGGCGCTTCTCTTGTTTTCTTTTAACAGATTTCACACCCAACGTAGCTTTGCTTTGTGGTACTAGTGGTCACCACTTTTTCGAAGTCAATTTGTTTCATAAGGCTAATATTCGTTTTTAGTGATACCAGATTGCTTTCCCGGTAACCGATGGACCTTCCCTTCCCTACGAAGCTGGCGATCCATTTCTCACCTTATCCTCCCCTCCTCCCCCTCTGCTCTCCAGCTGCCACTGCAGCACCTTGTGAAATGACTGAAAGTGTACTAAGTAGGTGTTTATATAGCCGTTGAGGTATTATCACAACTCACGTTGCAATAATACCTCAACACCGGATCGAACCGTAACCTCGAGAGCGGTGTATTCTCTCCCCTTCCTCTCCTGCCTATCCCCTTCCTTACCCCCGCCCGTTCCCTTTCTTCCCCTTCCTGCCCTCCCTCTCTCCTCCCCCTTGTCCTCCCCTCCAGCTGCCACGGCAGCACCATGTAGAATGAGGCTGAGTGTGCTCGATCGGTGTTTATATAGCCGCTGTGGGTGTTATCATGATCATGACATCAACATCACGAAGTGTTGCCCTTCGAACTCCCCGGTTTTGTTAGCGGTTGGTCCGGACGGACAGAACGACACACACACCGACAAACCGACACACCAAAGTTGTGGTTCATATATATAATGAAGTGATAATGTCCTGCTCAAAATAATTTTTGCCCAGCCTGTCTGTCTATGCAGAACCTATCGCTGTCGCTGTCTTCGTCTTTTTTACAGCCATTCTTACATTCTGTCGAGGTTGGTATAGTGTATGTTAAAGGAAGTAGTACGAAAAGGAATTTTCACATCTGCGGAGAACCTGCTCCCCACAGAGCAATTAGCAGGCCGCCAAGGAAGCGATGTGTGGCGCTTGCACTGCGAACAGTGCTGTGGTTGCTGAGCAGGACCATTGCGCCCTTCCGCCCCATGCGCCGCCCCGCCCCATGATTCATCGGTGGCTTGGGCGAGCCGTGTTGCCAGCCGCAGCGCGGTTAGGGCGCCATGCCTGCTGTTTGCTGCCCAGCACGCGTTGCGCAATCTCGTCCACGCGTGCGCGGTCTTCGCCGCAGTCCATCTGAGAGCC